AAACAGGTCGTTAAGCTTCAATCGATTCTATTCAATCAGTACGATTTATTCGCTTACGAAGTGCCTGAAAAGTGCAGTTACTTTTCCATTATATTATTGTTAGGCTTGTTTTTCTCCTTTAATAATATTAAACTTAATTATCGAATTCTAGATTTATTCGTTATCACTTTTTAATCATATAATCTTTCACAACGTTCACCACTTATTAATGCCGAAACGAAAACACAATAAATTTAACAACTCGAAGAGAATTCGATCGTCAAATACATCAACAGCAGATAATGAATGTGAAAGGAATATTACTGATGTAACAAATATATCTTTACAATCAAATGATGAAGATTTTCTTGATAATAATATAAAAATGACTTTGAATAAAAGAAAAAAACATCTGAAAAATTTTTATGATCGTACAAAAACAGCACCAGGTTAGCTTCGATACTACTAAAGACTCATCGATATTCGTCAAAAAATCTGTTGAATAAAAGTTTAATATTTTTACATAGGTACATTTGATGGTGAAGATAACATCTTCAATGATCTCATCGAGACTTCAACTACTGCATCGACCAAGAAAAAAGTATCAATCGACGCCAATCTATGTCAAACTATTCAATCAGATTCATCTGTTGAAGATGGTTTTCCATCAGCAACTCGTACATTAACAACTACTTCTCGTGATCCACACTTGCTTTCATCATCATTAACTGATAATATTAATGTATGTCGTGGTAAAAATCAATCATTATTAACAACTGAAAATCATCCATCTGATTCATATTTATTTGGTGCAAGATCGAGTTCGATTGTTGTTGATAATCAACATCATCATTCATCATTAACACAACAATCGATTGATGAAAATGAAAAGCAAATACTGACGTGATTAGCATATTTTATATCAATATCTATAGAAAGATCATTTATTTAAATCTATTTTTATAGACCAAAGGATCATACAACTGTTGGTACGGTAAAATCTCCTATGAATCATTATACGTTGGCCCAGAGGTGATTTGCTTATTTATAAATACTAGATTGCTTTACGAATAATTCTCTTGATTCGAGAGTAAGGTCGGTATTCAAATAAATAGTTGAAAATGAAGGTTTGATCTTTCGCATTTTACACTTACTTCACGAGCCAATGAAACTAAAATATTTCAAATTGAAAATGGAAATTCCGATAAAAATTTTAGTATATGATGTCGTATTTGTTTCCAAAAATAAGATATTTTCATTTTTTATATATTATTATGAATAAAAAAAATTAATCTAAAGAAGAGAATTAAAGAAGATATTCAAAATTTCTTATATCTATTTATAGTGGCAATTTTTCATCTGAAACAAATATTGATAAAAAAAAAACACAGTATGTTTCGAAAAGGTAAAACCATAATAATACTCTATGATCTATATTTCACTTTGAAAATAAATATTGGTTTCAGTACTATTACGTTTAATACATCTTCTATCAGCAACAATCGTATGGATATTATTGGAAGTCAAAACACAAATAGGTTTGAATGTTTGTCTTTCAGTGTTGTCATCGTTCACAATGTTTTTATTTCTTTACTTTTAATATCTATCGATCTATCATCCGGTTGCCCAATGTAACAAGTCAAGCTCATGCAAATCGACCATCAACAAATATCGTTGCTCAAATACGTACAATTGATGTTTTACATTCAATTGAATATCGTGAACTAGAAGAGAAGAACAAAAAATTATTAACACAAGTTGATAATTTGAAACAAGCTATTAAAAAAATGCGCAAAGAGAGAAAAAAATTTGAAGAAACACATATGTGTAAGTTTTTCATGACACATCATAGTCTTGACTCATCAGTTGTCTGACATTTTACTTTTTGAAAAAAGAACTTATATGACCACATATACATTTCACAGTATATTATGGTCCCACTCTTGTGAATTATTATGAGCAGCAACTTCGAAATTCATCAATTGAAAATCAACTCATTAATTGCTTTTATGCATTTCATTGTTGAATATTTTTCGATCGTAATTTATTTTCTTTTTCAATATTTTCTTTTGAAGTGCTTTTTACGAGCTATTAGAAACGACAGAAAATTAATTGGTTTATGCTTTTGATAATTTTCCAAATAATACGTTTAATTTGTCTCTGCATTTTTTTAGTAAAACCTCGTGCTTCATTATATAATGAGTTACGTTTGTTTTTGGATTTAAATTCTGACATATATAAGGGAGATGGTCGAACAATTGAAGAAATTGGAAGTGCACTTGGTTTGAGTTCGATGGCTATTCATCAAGTTCAGCAAGATGCTGAAAAACCTGATAAAATTGCTATGAATGTCTGGAGAAAGATATGTCCTACACAAGAAGATAGAATATACGTCGGCACTATCAAACAAGTACCAAAATCAACAGTTCAAAATATTTATAGTAAGTGAATTAGTTTCATAAACATATTAAATACAATTTGACATTGATTTCTCTTCTTAATGTGAATATCTGATCAAAGTAGGTAATAACAAACCATCAAAAATCTATTAACTGTAAATTTAATGATCGAAAATAAAAAATTTAATTCTTTCTTTAATTTAGTGTTTGCTCGTTTATGTCTTCCCAATATGAACTTGAATTTCAAGAAGATGCGAAATGATATAGCAACTAATTTACGTCAAGGTCGTTTTAATCCTAAATCGACAGCAAATATGTCGTCAAATTATACTGAAACGCAACAAAATAATCAAAGTGATGATGAGAACGAAGATGATATGTCGGATGCAGAAGAAACAACTGATTTAGAATCGTTTTTAAAGGAAAAAAACTTGATCAATTATATTAGTGATGATGAATAATAAAAGGACTTGTTTATTGATTAGTGTTAATTGTACTATTTCTTATTTTTTTCATTTTTCATTATATTGTTTTATGATTTTACTATCACTTTGTATGTAAAGTATTAATGCATTGTTTTTTTTATCATTAACTTGTTGTTATTATCTTCCCCTGCAATATGTTTTGTTGTTTTTTTTGCATACATGAATTTTGATCTGCTAATTATGTACATATGCAAAAATTGAAACATATCTTTGATCTTTATGAAATATGTGAAATAAACGAAATCAAATATTAGCTTGCTTATTTTTGTTTTACAATAATAAAAATTAGAAACAAGAAGGTATTGGGCATTGAAAGAAGCGACTGATTTCAGATGATGAACGAAAGCGACGACGAAGTGGAAATGATAGCGAATCGAAAGTCTCGATTCAGTCGCTATCGTAGGCGGGTTCGGGAGAGAAACAATCTCAATATAAGTGAAACTATGATAATAGATGATCACACTGATACATCGTGCGTCCTTTTCTATTTTCTCGCTTTTTTGTATGTTGTTTTACATTGTTAGAATGGATGAAATGTCAATTTCTCAACAACAAAACGTTGAGTTTGTTGGTCAAGTACCAACCACGAAACATGACGAATATACACAAACTCCAAATTCATTTTTTAATTCAGAAATTGAGGAATGTGTTGTAGAAAACAGAGATGATAATAATGTACATCAATTAAATGGTAATGATGATATATTTTTATTTCATAATGATCATATTAATAAATTAAAAGATCATGATTTACACCGATTTTCTGACGATGATGATGATGTAGAGGGAAATTCTGATGTTGAATTTGATTTATGTAATGATAAGTTTGAAGCTGAACGACCTCCCAATGCTACTGAACTTTCGGTAATGTTACTTTTTGTTTGGAGGCAGCATTCTATGAGTAAAGCTGCCGCAAATGATATTTGTCGAATCTTAAATACTCTGAACATTCCGAACATGCCAACAAATTTTCGTGGAGTGATATCTCACGTCAAAAAAAATAATCCTACACTACTTCACGGTAACCATTCGTTTATTTGTCCATCCTGTTTCACCAAAGGTTCAAATTGTTCGAAATGTGATGTCAGTGGATGTAAATCTGCTTCATCTTATGTTCGTACACCAACATCAGTTTTCACATTTCCACTCGTACCTCAGATAATTTCGATACTCGAACGAGAATATCTTGTTTCATCCACATACGTATCTGGTCAATGTTCCGATATAGTAAATTCTCGACGTCATCAAGAAATAATAATGAAAGAAAAACAAATTCATCCAGATAGAAATATAATTACTCTTACACTTAATAATGATGGAGTACTGATCAAAAGAATTTCTCGCTCATTATGGATCACATGTGCGTGTATTAACGAATTACCTAGACAGAAACGTTTTCAAATTAATAATATATTAATATTATCCATTTCAACAGGAAGTGAAAAACCGAAAAAAAAAGAATATTCTATAATATTACAAGATATTGTAATAGAATTAAGATTTTTGGAAAATGTCGGGTTTGACGTTATTTTACCAACAAATGACACAACCAATAAAAACAAGTACACACATTTTCACGCATTTGCCATTTCAGCTGTTTCTGATAAACCAGCACAGTCTCTCATGCTAAACATAAAAGATTCAACAGGCTATTTCAGTTGTGGTTGGTGCTGCATAACAGGTTAGGCTTGTTCCATTATTTTTTATCCATTTTCATTTTTTTATTTCCGATACGACGTATTCATATATATTCAGGTGTGACTAGTGAGTTAGGTTCAAGATGCTTTATTTCTGACGATACAATTCCGGTGAAAATTCGGAATAATGCAACGTATGATGCAGCTATAAAGCTTTTAGATTCAGTAAATTGTCTTACTTAGTTTATTTTTTTAAACTAGCTATTTTATATTTTCTCTTAAGAATTACCGAGAAAAAGATCCGATGAAAGATCAAGCATGTGGACATTCAGGACGATGCGCATTACGTGAACTGGCGTATTTTGAGATAGGCGAGAGTTTCTGTTTCGATTCTCTTCATGGAATTTATTCTGGAGTTTTTGTAAGTATTTTATTTTTTCTTACTTGATTGATGTATAAAGAAGTCTGACAGGAAGATGCAATTTTTCGCCATTATCTAAACGAGAATCTTTGAATAAAATCTGGCTGTCTATTACTATAATAATGTCATTATTGTTCAGATGACACAAAAAAATTAATTATATCTAATTTAACTTCATGTACTATAAACGATAATTTTTATGAGTTTGATTAGTAGAATCAAATTGCACCATATTTATGCTTAGATTACATAAATTTCAACCCTTCTATTGATTTACTAGCTGTTTTCTTTGAATAGTTCAATATGCCAGGCATATTTTCACTTTAATAATTCATCATATATTCAAAGTGTAATTAATTCCAAATAATTCTACTGAAAGTTTCAGCTCCAATTTAGTAATCGCACGGTAAAATAAAATTTTATTTTTCGACAAGAATGCTGAACATATGAGTAGAGAGATTTGGGAGATATCATGGTAATTAAATACTCCATAGTCTTGATCGTATCTTCATCTTTATGAATTTTAAAAGCAAGATTATGAAAAACTTAGTTTATACACATGTAGATATCGAGTAATATTTCTGTAGTGAGATTTAAGTCGGGTCATGTATATACAATCAACAGATGATTTGATCGATCTTCAAGTAGCGACGAATTTCCATGTAAATGTTTTCATCTGTTTTCTTTCTTTTATTAATAGAAAAAATTAATGCATTTGTGGTTTGATGTGGTAAGAACAGATTATTCAATCAAAAAAAACTTTGATCAAATAGAAAAATTGTTACAAAGCATCCATTATCCAACTACAAACCGACTACCAAGTGCCTTGCGATATTTTAACTCATGGAAAGCCAATGAATTCAGAATTACACTACTTTTTGGATATAAGTATACAACACACATTTGAAATATTCGTTCAGTTCATGCCTCTTTTTCTAGAGTCTTTGGGCAAGTAATGAAAAGAAAGTATTATGAACACTTTCGATTATTAGCTTACGCTGCAATTTTTTCTGAAATGCAATTATTGACAACTAATCGATTAGACCAAATCAAAACTTTATTAGATACATTTCTCAATCAGTTTCCATTGATATACGGAGTTCGTATATTGATAACCATTTTCTTGTTTTTTAATTTTACTCTTTTCTTTGACATTTGAAGGAATCGAATTGTGTTTCGGTTGTGCATTCTCTAGCACATGTTCATCAAACATTACTTAAATTTGGTCCCATCTTTAACTATAGTACTTTTAACTTTGAGAGTGCAATCGGTATGTATAGTTGAATCGTTATAGGATCACATTTCCTTTTTTTAAATCTCGAATATCAAACTTGTATATTAACGTATTATTAAAACAACAAATATTAATTATACATAATAATTCAGGAAGTCAAAAGCAACTTAAACTAATAAATCTGTTGAGAACAGCAAATTAACATGTGCCCTTATTTCCACATACCTATGACCAATTATCAATACATTAAAATAGAAACCGCATACTTAGATAATCCACAACGAGAGTGTCATTTTTGAGCAGTTATTCTTAAATCAAACCCGAGATAATGAATTTTATTCTACTAAATAATCATGTATCTTTCATACAATACCAGTGAATGTTTATATTTCATATGATGTTTTATTTGTTTGGTATTTTTTAACGTTTTTTCATCATTATGAAAAGCAGTTTTTATTCGAGCGTAGCCAAGCTTTGTTGAAAACACGTACTGTTTTTTTATTTATTTATTAGGATCCATTGTAAAATCTATATATGGTCCATCACTGATTTTAACTGAGCTGATGAACAATGTCGAGCTTATATCTCATGCTACTACTGCTTTAAAAAATCCTTCGTTTCACCCCAAAATTGCTGTACTCATTAATCAAATTAAATGTTCAAAGAAACGTGCTGTACCAACATGCATCAGACCTGATGTCGACATCCGTCTATCTCAAACAACATGTGTTAAATTTTTACATGTTACTACATATCTCGAGAACACGTACGGCAAGAATCAATACACTCACCATACATTGTGCTTCTATAAAGAAGTGCCATTCAAAGTTCATCATTCGAGTAACAATCAAGTAGATGATTCAGCTTTGATATATTCTGATGAGTCAAATAATCTTCATCTTGGTTTAATTGTTGGCATTATACAATTAAAGGCAACAAGTGAAATTAAATTTATTATTGATACAGTACAAGTTACTGGTTATGACTCATTTTCACTTAATGGAACAGAATATAAAAATAATTTATTTATTTATACAATGATGCCAACACCACCACATACTGTTTCTATCAATTATACCTCGATAAGAGAGAAAGTTGCTTATCGAAAAGACGCAAATATGAATTCACTGTGTGAATTTTATATCTTTCCAAATCTGTTAGAATCCACATAAACATTCTTGAAACAGTTATTATTAATTATCACATTGAACAGCTGACTATTTTTGTTTACGTTTTTTTTTGCTATCATACATATCTATTTCACTTTTACAACTTATCTCCTTGAGGTTTTTAACCATTTGTCATAATAACTACTGGATGAATTAAAGAAAAAAATATAAAAATAGCTATGTTATATCGTAAGTACATCAGAACCATACTGGAATTTAAAGACAAATAATACATAAACAAGTCGTATGGTAGACAATAAAAACTGGTATAACCTCGTATATATAAAGAAAACAAAGAATTCGTAAGTCTTTTTGAAATATTACATTTTTTTGCATTAAACAGTGATTTGTCATTCTCGTCAAAAATTAGAGAAGTATATAAATAATCCCTTTTACATCAAGTATGTTCGCATAAGCATAATTTATCGAACTAAAGATTCTCCATTTCAATAAACCTCCAGTAACAAATTCGTTTACATGCGCTAAATTGTTTAAAAAAGCGGAAAATAACGAGCTATTCTTGAACGTAGTAAAACTAGCTTCAAATCAAATTATATGCATAAGAATATGTTTTGTCAACTAACCTTTCCGCATTAAAACGCGTTTTTCAGAAGTATTGTCTGCTTGAGTACAAAGAACGCGTAAAAACGCATAAAATCCTCCTTAAAAACAAAAAATAATGAGTTAAAGTTTAACCCAAAAGCATGCGTTCTATCAAAAACGCGTTTTTTCAAAAAAAAACTTTCCTGCGTTAAAACGCGTATGATACTACGAACGCGTTAAAACCAGTAGAAACTATAAAAAAAGAATTGTAAAAACGCGTAAATTCAGAAAAAATTTTACGCATTTTAACGGGCTCATCGTCCTTAACGCGTTTATATGCGTTAAAAATTCGTAAAAATGCCGTTTTTACGAATTTCTATCGTAAAACCGCCGTTTTTACGAAATTTTAACGCGTATTAACGCGTTTTTTTGAAGGTCATGTCTGCCTGGGGGTTCTTTAATATTACTTTATTAAATAAAGATACAATAAAGCAATGAAAGATTCTTTTCTCGAACAATAAAGTACTTTAAAGTGTTCTAGAATCACAGAAATTATATTCACAAGCATTTTTATCGTAAACAAAATGTAGATTGATTGAAAACAACTTAAGTAAAAAATGACAAATTTGTGCCTATTGCCTGATATTTAGCAGATTTCAGTTACAAAAATGACGATTAGAACACAGCTAATAGCATATTCTGAATCAATATAAAAAAACGAAGCCGACTAATGTATGTTTCAAATGTTTTTGAGACATTTTGTTTTCATCGAAAAATTCACCTTGATTGTCTCTTCAGGATGATTGAGTCAAAAAAAGAAATTCTTCGAAAACGCTATTTTGAAGTTTTAAACATCTTCTAGTTTGTATGCCTTCCATCATTCTACAACCTTAGGGGTTGTTTGTTACTACCGAAATCACTTTTAGGTAAAATTTGTTTTTCAATCCAACCACCCTGAAGAGGAATAGAGATGAATGGTTTTCGATGAAAATAAAATGTCTCAAAAATATTTGAAGCACACATTGATTGACTTCTATTTTTTATACTGATTCAGAATATGCTATTAGTTGTGATCGGATCGTTAATTTTGCAACCGAAATTTGCTAAATATCAGGCAATAGGCACAAATTCATGTCATTTCTTGACTAGGTTGTTTTTATTCAACACACGTTTTCTGTAATAAAAATGTTTATGAATATAAGTTTTGCGGTTTTAGAACAGTCTCAGTCACATAGTCGCTCGAAAAAAGAAACCATTGTTCCTTTATTTTATCTTTTTTACTTTAAAGATTAAGGTTCACCACTAGTTATAACTACTGTAGAGAAAGAAATATGTACAGTAAAATAGTGATTCGATATTTACGAAGTGATCCTGATGGTCCACGAAACAGGGTCATATTACTTTAGAAAACATAAGACGAGTTTAGACGACAATAACGGCTAAATATTGCCTCGTCTCATGTTGTGGTTATAGCATCCGATTTAGAATCTGTTTGCCTAGAAGAAATTTGTAAATTTCTAAAAAGCTTCTAAAACAAAACACCTATCGCGTTTGCATCTGTTTGAAGAATGCATTTAAGCGAATTCAAATCGTTAGCCAATATCAGAGTCTTGTAATGTTCAAACGTACAAAAATATGTGCAATCTTAATGTGTTGTGCGAACGGGATCCTTTTTGTTCTATGAAGCAACATGACCAATGCTTTGAAAAATCAACTTTAGATATTGTGTAATATGGAAACGCACACATACCGATATTCGTCACTTCTCGTTTCTTTGGGTTACCGGAAGTTCGCCAATAAGACTTTCGCCAATAGGGCATTCGCCAATGGCGAAAGTCCAGAGCTATTTTGGCGAAATTCTACTGTACTTTCGCCAATTGGCGAAATTCCAGGGAATGTATTGGCGAAAGTGTAGTGGACTTTCACCAATTGACGAAAGTACAGTAAACTTTCCCCAGCTGTCACGAAATAATATTAATACAGGGTACATGTAAGAGTTGAAGCTACAGTCTGTCGAATTCAAGAATTTCTGGAGTCGAACCCGATTGATGGATCTTTTGAGAGAAAAATTGAAAGAAATTCCAAAAAGATTATTATATACATGAGATATTTCTTTGGATCTCTATTCGATCAGTAAAATTTTCCGAACCCTGACACAAACTCAGTGATTACAAACCTTTCAGACCCGCAACCGATTGGGTTCGAGTTCCAGTAGATCCAACGGGCTCTAGCTGGAACTAATGTTGTTAGAATGTTTATCATAGCTTACACTCATCAATATAGCCGACAAAAATTTTCGAATCTATATCTAGTTCGCAGTCAAATTGGCGAAAGCCCACTGTACTTCCACCAAATGGCGAAATTCCAAAAGGTATATCGGCGAAAGTACAGTGGACTTTCGCCAATTGGCGAAATTTCAGGGGGTGCATTGGCGAAAGTTCACTCCACTTTCGCCAATTGGCAAAAGTCCAGGGGCTGTACTGGCGAAAGTGCAGTGAACCTTCGCCATTGGCGAGAGTCCTATTTGGCGAAAGTCTTATTGGGGAAGTTTCGGAATCCCCTTTCTTTCTACATTCTCTTATTAATAGAATTTTTAGATGAAAGTTGAAAACAGACGATATACTAAAGAGTTAGAAACGTCCTTAGTTATAATAAAACCTGTTAATTGATGTTGTAAGTTTATAAGTGGAAATTCAAATAAGAAAATCAGTAGTAACTCTACGTAGCTATAGCTTTTCAGATTTTCGTAACATAGTTCTTAATCAGTCGTAGAAAATGAGGAAAACAAAAAACAAAGTTGCTCAAATCGGCAATCGGTGTTATTTTTCTGTCTCTCTATTTACGAAATATTGTTTTTCCATTACTGCATTCTTTCGGTTATCAATTATATTCGTCAGAGGAGCACAAACACGGATATGTGATACTATCGTTAAGTAGGCTATCAGTGAACTATAAAAACAACCACAGTTTAAACTATTTCGACATTTCGCTGAATTCCAAGTAAATTCTAATTATTGAAAAAGCATTTCTACATCATGAAAGTATAAACTAGAAACTGAGATTCACATGACTCAGAAAAATCGCATTTGTGCAGCTTATTGAGTTTTGAGCATGTAAAAGAAACAAGAGATCGAGATGTACTTATTGACCACTATATAAAAGCGATGCAGTCCTCTTTCAATACGTTTATTTACTAATATTATTCATTGCATTACTTTTTAGGTGAATCAGAAGCAGTATCAATTCAGTGTGGTTTAAAAAATATGGGAAATACTTGCTATATGAATGTAATTTTACAAATCTTCTCCCACACACCACCGCTGAAAGATTGGATTTTTAGTAACAATCATCGTGATATATGTAAGCATGTCTTCTTTTGTGTATCTGACTTTATTATCATGATTTAATGAGATAAAGATTGACGCTTGAACAGAATTTATCAAATGTCTCCTAAATGAATGAAATAGCATAGCTTTTAGATGAAAGAATCCCTTATTAAAGTCGCTGCAAGTAAAAGAAGAGGTATAGAAATAAATGAAACTTACATTCATTTTTCAAATCGATGTGGTTTATTTAATTATCTACCTATGATATGGTGTAAAGGTATATAGTGCTGATTACAAGTAGCTTATGAAGAATGAAGAGCAATTGAAGAAAACCACAAAGAACTATGAGCAAAGATAACATGAGTCTTATGCGACGGTATGTAGATTCAAACCACTTTTGTATGCTAGCAGAATGCATAGACGATCAACGAACGAATACCTTGAGACATGGAGAACAGAAGGAAATTTCCAAATCTGATGTTGCGACGAAGACTCGAATATGGTACTCATTCTCGACAAAGGAGCGTATTACCATTCTGCCAATCCTAGAAATGCAATGATGACGATAACAGTAGATTTTTTTAACCGAGTTTTCACAAAGGAAAGGACTTTTGACAAAATAATGATGCTTTATATATGTCGTATCGCAGTTACACCTGTCGACGAAGTTATAACTTAGTCGATAGATATTGTCGAAGTTATTTTGAATTCACTTATCAATAAATAATCTATTGAACTGAGTATTCTACTGTTGAATATATAATCAAAAAATAAAATTTTTACTAATAAATATTAATTTTTGTAACAATACTGTGGAATAAATGAACATTTATTAGTAAAAATTTTATTTTTTGATCATATATTCAACAGTAGAATACTCAGTTCAATAGATATTTATTGATAAGTGAATTCAAAATAACTTCGACAAGTTTCTCTGTCGAACTTGTAACTTCGATGAATATGAGCGTCGAAGTTATAACTTCGTCACGTTTATACGACGAAGTTGTAACTTCGTCAAGAACGTTGACGAAGTTATAACTTCGTCGACCGGTGTAACTTCAATACGACATATACATCAACTTTTCCGAAATCAAAAAAATTGAATTTACCACTTCAGAAAACCGATCGTAAATT